AGTTGAGCAATTCGTCGAGATAGTTCTGAGTTCTGATGAGAGGCGTCCGATGCCTGACGAGACAACTCCGTATTCTGTCGCGAGAGATCGGCGACGAGTTTAGTCTTAATACTAAGCTGGGATTCTAGTTCGGCGTTATGTTCCCGCTGTAATGGTGTTGATAGACGTTGTGCTATAGAAAACTGAAGAGGGTCAGCCTACCAGTTTCGCGAGGTCAGCCTTTGCTTGACGACTATTGCTAGCAATTTTTGTGATGATGTCCTCTTCGGTCATATCACTCTCAAGGACACCTAAACCTGATTGAGAACCGATTTCTTCTGTGGTCATCTTTAAATGTCGATATTCTGCAGGAAAATGTTGAGAAGGTTGCTTTCCGAGCATTTTAAACTGGTATCCATCGATATCTGGAAAAATGACATTAAATGATAACATTTCAGGCGCATATAATCACCGTGTTCCTCTTTTTTCACCTCCACGTTGGGACGCTACAATGATATAATACATTTTCAGAACCAACTTAAGAGTATATGCGGCATACCCTTGCTGAAAATACACCATTTGTGTCATAGAAAGAAGACGATTGCTGAGAACTTGGGTTGTGTGACTCCAGGCGGGAAGTTGTCGTATTGAACTTGAAATTGGGCAAATGGAGGCTAGATTCAGCCGACCCCTGGAGGTTGCATTCTCTACAAGATTGGAGCTCCGTGTGGGTGCAAATGCTCGTTGTGAGCCGTTGCTAAATGTCGAGACTACAGATTTTTGTTCAGTGTGCCCAGGTTGTGGAGTCATGAACAGAGGCTTTTGACCGTTACTGTTGTCGGTTTGATTTTGGCGTGGTGTAGAGAATAGAGTCATTCTGTGTCCTTGGTGAGGCTTCATTGAAGGTGCAGGTGAGATGTAGTAGTGGTTCCCAGTCAAGCGAGGATTAATATCTGTACGGACATTGTCGACGCGCGTAATTGAATCACGTGACGCGCGTGATTAAAATAATCGCCGGCACAGGTGACACCTTCGCATTAAATTGCTCTTACGGGGTACTATAGGTAGTATGTGTTTCAGGTGAATAAATAAGTGGTGTTTTGACGGGATTGCAAGGGTTAAACGTTAAACATACTACGAAGTATCATTCAAGTCCGCAACCACAGCTGCTAAGATTTGGACAAGGTGCAGAAGGATATTGAGTCTGATCACGAACAGTAGCGAATGCAATGAAGGCATTTATCCATGCAGGTGTTATAGTGCCATTTCCCTCGAGTATCGCTGCACCTGTGAATCAGAGGTCATATGATTGCCTCATGGAAATTGCGGCACATAAAATGCAGTGATTGTTCTAAACGATATGCACGCACCCATCCCCATTCCCCTAGCATTGCGGGCTAAATACCTTTTAATTTGATTGGGAATAACCACAGACGCAATATTAGCTGCCTGTTCATGCGAGTTGACCGTCCAAAATTGTACGGCGTCAACGAACTGTTTATAGGGCGAAGGTCAAACGTTTAACCATGAGGCTGGCAAATAATCGTTATGAGGTCGAGTACGACCATATGATCGCATGATACTTACTCGACAATCCCTTCAAGTGCATCCGAGTTTCAGAAGGACTCTCAGCCATGACGATCGCGAAGCCACTAAGGTGGTTAGTCTCATAGTTACACAATCTGGCTCCAAAGGACTCATGCATCGACTTGGAGATGTGACTATCGGAGGATGAGCAAACCAAATAAAAAAAACAGATCGGGACGCTCACTAGTGCAAAAACCGAGGACCACAATTATCTGTAACCCACCGTATGACCATTTGTTGCCTTGACCACTGCTAGAGACAACGTCCCTGCGCACAGGATTTAGACAGTTGAAGGCACTCCGGCTGGCGCCACCTAATTGGGTTGTAGCACCCCTCCTCTGGCAGTCTTTTAGTTCATATCTGAAATCCAGTAGGTCGTTATTTATCTGCACCTGCCACACCTCGGAGATTGTAGTGCAATTTGTGTTCCTAGGCTATCCCACATTGACGATGCACTTATCTGCATCATTGATATTGATGGCATTGTTGATGGACTGTCCACACCAGTCTACATGGCTGAAAGTTGGCTAAGTAGGCCCTACTGGGTCCGAGCCGAGTAGCTGATAGTCTAAGAAAGGTGTATACTTGTAAACGTTTACGCTAACCCAGACTACAGTGTGTGAGAGAATGTGTGTATTTATATACCACTAAAACTCAGTGTTAAGATGCGGTGCCCAGCTGCGGGCTGCACTGGTACAAGAAAGGCTACATAAACCTGGTAGCGTCAATCAAAGATGCTTTACTCAAAGGGATAGGATCTTCGCCAACTATGTGGCTGACAACCTGATCTGTAGGATCTACACTAGCTTACCCTGTTCATTTTAGCTTCAGTGAACCTCATATACCAGAAATACCCCGGACCGTCGGAATCATGCCCAATGACTAGGAGTTATTGGGGTAGCGCAGTGGTCTGACAGAGCATAGCCAGCTTCCGTAGCAACCAACTGTAGGGTAAGGACTCATTGCAATTGGTCGTACTGGTAGTAGTCTCTTCATGAACGTACTGCCTTGGGCAATAGCCTCAATGCGCAGTCCAACGATGAGCAGAAACGACCATAAAATGGATCAACGCATTGCGCCCTAGAGATAGCACAATTACTGTTACAGCCATATTACCACATGCCCCTCCTCCATAAGCTATACAGATAAGACGCTCGAAAATAAATCATTATCATATGAAGGACAGATGCTTGGATACCTTTTAAAAACTAGAGGTGGCAAATGAAAGAGGGGTATAGCGCGCAGGAGCAATCGGAATTAAAAAGTTTGAATGCTCGATGATGTTGTAAATCATGTAAGTGTGGTCGCGTTGAAGAAATTCGGGCGTGATGTTGTCGTATTTAAGGAATCCAGGCGTGATGTTGTTGTATTGAAGGAACCCAGGCGTGCTTGAGTAGATGGCTGATTCGAAGGACATAGCGAGGCCCAAGATGCTAGAAAGTTCGGTTAGCGTGTTTGGGACAACTAGCGCGGCACCCATACCTGGAATGCTCGCATTGACGTCGGCAAGTCGGTCCCGAGCTTCGGCCATGACCACCGCAAAGCCGCTACATAACAATCAGTTCGTAGCTCAAACATTACCTGTGGATACGTACTGGTTCAAATGGAAGTCGATGTGACTGGCAAATATGTCATGAAAGGTGTATCATGGAATGTAACGAGAATACATGCTCACCAATGGATAAACCACGGTCCAGAATTGTCCGTGACGAAACGTATTGTAACATTATCCCCTGTCGACCCCATACTTACGGTGTCTCTCCAGATTGGGTTGACGAAGTTTGTTGTACTGTTTCCCGAAGTTCTAACAACGGCAAAAGTGTGCTGTCAAGTGCATTAGAACGGTGATACACACATAGAAATGACAGAACGACGCACTCCGTGAAGGTGGATAGGATGCTATAATGATGCTGAGTGACAGGAGTGAGAAACACTAGAGCGCACTTACTGGACCTCCGAGAGCTAAACCTGTGTTGGGCAAGGCAATCTCCACTACCTTATTTGAGGGAAGCTCATATACGCTTCCGCTCGGCAGCAGGTCTGAGGGATGTTGCGCCCCACTGAGCATTTGCAACAGAACCGGCGTCGGAGGGTTGTGGTACGAAATATTGTTGATCCTGAAGATACCATTCACAGTGGTGGCAAGTAAGTTGATGTGGACGTCTGCTTTGCCAATCTCAGGGGAACCGGGGACAGGAATGCTGAGCAAAGATGCAAGCTTCCCTTCGTTGAATGGTAAGATGTAGGGTCCAGGAGTGCTCGTGGGGTCTTCATCGGGCGCGCCGTTGTACCTGAGGATGGCTTGATTCAAGCCGCCTGCAAACGTCTGGTTTGGAAAATTGGATGGCGCGCGAACCCAATAATTATCCACAGGCTGGTTCGCGTAAACGACGACAGAGTAGCGTTGGCCAGCTAGCACTGGAAGCGAATCCACAGTCTCAGGGACAGTTTCGATGCCGTCTGCCTCAATGATCGTCATGGTATGGCCATCGATAGTGAAGTTATATGATGGGTCACAAGAAAGACCGATGATGCGGAACCTGTAACGCTTGCCCTGCTCGATATTGATGACAGAAAGAGGTGATTTGGGTCCACCACGGTAGCGCCCCAGACCATTGATAAGGGTGGAGTTGGAGGTGACAGGGCCGAAAATTTTGTTTAACTTGGGCGTAGGATCGTGGTACCTGAAGGAACTTGTGAGATTTGGAATGCAAAAGGCTGACAAGACAACTCGTACCAGTCGGAAAGCGTGATTATTGTGTTCTCTATGCCAAGGCTGATCAATGCTTGGTCTAAACATGGAAGTAAAGATACAAACCGTCATCTACGTCATATAAGTCTTGATGGGGATCCTCAGGGTCATATATGACAAGTGGTCCTCTAAGACCGTCACCTGGACGTAAAGCTGTGTAACATGGATCGCATAGATAGTTATGGACACTCACAATACTGGGTGGAAAAGTGCGAGTGATACCTATCGTAAGACATACTCTAGTATTCCTTCTCCACAGGAAATAGGAGCACGCACCAAAAAGTTCCAGTCTGGTTGGGTGCGCTGAATTCGTGGAGGAAAGATCGATTTTGAGGAATTGGACACTGAGTGATGAACGATGCGCCATCTGCCCAGTTCGTCTTCTTTTGTTGGATGCCATGCCAATGCTTTGAAGGGCATCAGGGAACTTGAGGTGAGAAAAAAAGTAAAGCGCTTACTACGCTCGTCGACAAAGGCATATTTTTGTCATGTAACCTGTTCACGACATTGATGCTAAAGTTGTCATTCTTCGAAAAATCAGAAGCGGACGATAATTAAATACTCGCACGAACCTTCTGCGCTTTAATGAGAGGGCCAGGAAAAATCCCTCCTGCGAGTGTTGCCCTATACAGGATAAAGATGAAGACGCGCAGGGGAAAATGTAAGCATTAACTCACGACCGTGCAAAGCCATCAGGCGCAATTACTTTATTGACGACGACGAGTTCAGTGACAGGCTTGATGGTGAACGGGGGCGCGCTAGACGGTAAGTCATCATAGGTGGATCTTGAAGATACTACCAATATTGCATGTGACAAGGCAAGAAGGCAGCCGGGGAGGATAGCGTGGGGAAACATAGCAGGATGAGACAAACCACGACGCTGAGCCCTGATATTAGATGTGGAGATCAGCTCGAAGGTAACAGAATTGACAAATAATGTACAGACTTGTGATATCCGCGATTAGATCGAGCGACAAAACTGGTGGTGGAGTTGGAAGTCGACGGGCGGGCGGGGCCTTCAGGTTGCTGGAGCCACAGATCACTCAAGATGTGATGCGCGGAAAAACAAGGAGTGCACGTTGTGAAGTCGGATATGTCCTGGCTTTTGTACAAGTTAGTAGAGGTTGGTTGGTCTAGATTAAAACAGAAACGGGTCGAAAATATGACGACAAGTGACGCATCATTCGATAGTTGCAATCTGAAATGACTGAAATGAACGCCACGATCTGATGCCATAAGACAACATAAGGCCGGCGTGATGAACATTACAAACTAGACTGCACAATTTGAAACCTTGGCGCTTGGGAGCTGCTCATCCGGCACACCGAAAGACTGTCTACCGCATATCAGATGGAGCGGACACTCGATCGTCGTATGATTAAAAGGCCTCCGAGATGTATATGTGACTGGAAGCCGTTAGCTGTGCGAAGGCAGTAGTTGACCAAGGCTCACTACTGAGCAGTCACGGCAAGAGGGTAGCCATCAGTATGACCAGGTGACACCGTGCTGTCAGTTTGTATTATAATGATATTGACATGGGACTCCATTGATGCCATCACATAGTTTGTCATTTTTGCAGTTTAGCGACCAACCATAATTGCTGCGATTCAAATCTTGATCAACAATAACCAATTAAACCATGTCGTATAAGGACACACCTTTGTGGGCCTTCGTGTCGTCCTCTCATAGCACGCCCAAACGTGGAGTCATTAATCGACTTTTGTATCATAGAATTTGGTAGGATGCCCACGAACGTAACGATGGGCGGGCCTTTGCAGCACCGCACCGTAAAGTCTTTCAAGCCGATGCGTGCACTGAACTCCATTCAGGATGTTGTAGTACTACTACGATGGGTTGCTGTCCGTTCCTGTATATCATTGCAGCGCTGTGCACCAGCAGGGTTGTGGGGGGTTGTGTGCTATGCATCTTCTCTCGAGTTCTTGCATGAGCATGTGCCGGGTAGTCTTGCGACATGAAGTAGAAACCGGAACCACCTTGCATCCTGACAAACCAATGTCCAACATACGTCATGAGCGGAGTGGTTGCACGATGAATGTTCTGGTAATTTTAAAAGTACTGCGTACCATCACCATGCAAAGCACCGTGGCCACTATGAAACTGGGAGGAAGTTATCATCACCACCAACACTTGACCTATGCAGGTGAATTGTCCGTTTCGCCTACAAAACTGGTAGTGACACGATGATGGATGAGGTTGTGTAGGAGTTATTGAGGTGTCAGCGTCTTTCGTGTGAACTATTGGGAATACGATACGTTAATTCCGGCCGAAGTTCGGCGCGTTGAACCAACTTACGCGGACCCCTTCATACCATGCATCCAACTTATAATCGTTACCAATCCCATAGGGCACCGCGTCTTGATAGTTTCTTTTATTTGCAGCGGTATATAAATACGGAAATTTTCTTTCTCTCTCCGTTAAATCCGGGTAGTACGGGGATGGGATCCCCGGATAATTCCTTGCCATGACTAAGCTGTCTCAGCCAATCAAAATAGTTCACGTGACCTAGTTATTATTGACTTTAATATAGAAATTATATAGAATCTTCAACTACCCACACTGCACAGTTTGTGCTCATTGTTTGTTGGAACGGTTTTCAAGTTGTTTGAGTCACGACGCATGTTATTGCAGTGATACACATACTACATACAATTCCTGTTTGTTGAGCAGCTTTTGCTTTGCACCTAACCGTCCAAACAGTTAGGTCAACCAAGTTGACTTGGTCTAGATACCATGTTTAGGACGCGACAATGGGGGCCAGTGCAGTCTCTGCTCGCGCTAGTACCGCTGCTTATTGGGTTGCCATGGCTTGCATTAAAACACCAGTATTGTACG